TTACTTTTTCCTTCCACAAAAGTAGTTCACTCGCTGGTTTTTCCCACCATATGTCAGGTTAACTATTAGAAAAACGGAGGGGTTTCTCAATTTTTTTTCAATGACAACTTTTTTTGTCTTTTTTATTATTTCAAGGTTGGTGTACACTTTGTATAATTCATATCTAAATTTCTTGAAACCCGATTGGACGATTTTTACGGCTAAATTTAATTATTAGGTGTTAAAGTTTACTGACATACCTTTTGTAATAAAAGCTTGTCTGAATCTTCCATAGTTTGTATAATTTCCGGGTAACAATATCTGATCTAAAGACTTGACTTTCTGATATGTATAATTTGGTTTACAGGGATCGTGTATCAGCATTATGGGCCACAGTGAGGGATCATTTGTCAAACATTCTTGTCAATGCAACTCATCACAGGTAAGCAGTTAGATGGAAAGTGATGATATCAGTTTTATAGACATGTTAAAAGTGTATACCTTTCTTTCTTTCAGTTCAATTGTGGAGAGATCTGTTGTTGGCTTGCTAAGGCTGGCAATTCGTCTCTTGCATAAAGAAGAAGTATCCAGTCAAGTTCTTTTAACCCTTCGTATCTTATTGTTAATGAAGCATGATGTTCTGCAAGATTGTGGGAGGCAAATTTCTTTCGGACTTCACGAACTGATCCGGACTAACGCGTCTAGTATAACATGCTCTCGAGACTGGGTCACAGTTTTTGCTTTGCTGGAGTGTGTAGGTGCTGCTGCTTCACTGCCAACTGTTACTTCAAGTAATGTGGCCATGTCCACGGCATCATCCGATGTGGGAAGTGATTTGACATCGAGAGATTACGAACTTGCGGACGGAATATCAAACTCAGAAAGTGAAGGCGGCTCATTTACAAGTATTGAAGCGGATTCAGGTTTGAGTGGAAGTGTTTTAGGAGACACGTGGTTGGTGATTACAAAACAGGACTCAGAAAGCTCTCCTGCGAACCAGTATGAATTAACAGTGGGTGCAAAATTAAACAAGCATGATAGTAAATCGTTTGTGAAATCGTGTCAGAGCTTGGCCTTTTTGATCCGCGACAACGCTCATGTCACAAAGGAAAATTACCTGCATTGCGTTCACGCTCTTCGCTTATTCTCAGAGGCTAGTCTAAATGGAGGAGCTGGATATCGCCAAGATGGCTGGCAACTCAAAGAGAGCACAGCTGATTACAAAGGAAGTTGGGGGCGCTCTAGCAAAAAGACATCTTCGTCATCTTCACGCTCAAAGAAAGTGAGTCCAACAGGTTTGAAGACACGTAAATCTACCAAGTCGGCCACCAGTAGTCCAGCCACGAGTGAGGATGAAGCTGAGATCGTGGAGACTATCAACAATACTTATGATGCCATGTCTCTCCAGCTCCTTGAGCTCATGTACACTCTTCACACTCATGGAAGAGGAATTTTTGATAAATTCCCAGGTATGGCTGATGGTAGCCCTGATGTACCAGTTCACGACCAGAGCTTGGACTTTCTGTGGACTAAGTGCTGGTGTCCCTTGCTGCAAGGAATTGCACGCCTTTGTTGTGATGTGCGCAGGGATGTGAGAATGTCTGCTCTTACTTATCTTCAGCGGGCGTTACTCGTTCAAGATCTTCAAAATCTATCTGCCATGGAATGGGAAGCATGTTTTAACAAGGTACTTAAAGTCACTTCTTCGAATCTTCCAAACAGTGGCCTTAACTTTTATATCCCAACAAAGTTGTCCTGAAGGGAAACGGGAACAATACGCTGCTCTTCTTGTAAAAGCAAGTTGAAGCACATTGTAATTCTCGGTTAGAAATAATTGTTTTACTTTTAATATGCCCGTGGAATTCGAGATAGAAAATTTCGGCGCCTTTATTTCATAAATATAACACGTTTCGAACTTTAAAGCTTTCATTGTCATCTTTGATTTGAAACATTTATCAAGAAAGTTACCGGTAAACAAGTCGCCATTTTTCACAACTAACAGATAAAACTATTTTGGGTTGGGGCTACAGAGGCATATTTACAGTGAAAGATAATTTTGGTAGTTTGTTACTAGAAGTTAATGATTTATTCAGCCAATCCGTTGGCTTTCAGGTTTTGTTTCCCATGCTGTCTCAACTATTAGAAGTCAATAGCAATAGTGATCCAATGGGTGTCGAAGAAACGCGCATGAGAGCTGCTACTCTACTCTGCAAGGTATTTGACATCATTAACTAGTCGCTCTTCGCTCACTCTAAGAAAAAGAGAAAGATTTTAACTTATAGAAAACTCCTTTTGTACGATTTAAGTTTGACCGAAAATATAAGTACAAAGCGCCATAGGATTTATGATCTGTTCTCCTCTCCTCGAGTCCAATGCAAGGGACTAAACAAATAAGATAAAAACTCGCTTAGCAACAAGTGAGGTAGGAATATCTACGAGGAATCTGAACTGTGAAGACTTTGCAACATCCTTTGAAAAACGATGATGAGTTTATTTTATTTTTGATACGTCTTCTTTTAACTTATTAGCTTACTGAACAGAGAATGGGCTGGAATTTTGTGGCGTGAAATATTCGAAGCTATGAAGATTTTCTAGCAAAAATCATCAGAGCATTAGCTGAATTCATGTTTTGGTTGATTTAATATGTTACAGGTGTTCCTACAGCATTTGACGCCTTTGTTGTCTTTATCCACTTTTACTGCACTGTGGTTGACAATCCTGGAATTTATGGATAAGTACATGCATGCAGATAAGAGCGATCTTCTGGTGAGTAAATATTATATTTTGTTTCTACTCGAGCATAAAGGGTATTAGAGGTGCAGAGTGCATGGGAATCACACTCATGGTGATTGTTTTTAAGACTTGGTTATCCCAGCGGAACGAGAGACCCAAACGTCGCTAACGTCTTCAGTTTCCAGTAATGGATTTTTGTCTCTAACATGACGCCCCCTTAGATACTTAGACGGTTACACCGACTACTTTTTCGTACAATAGAAGATGTGAGGTTGTTTCAACCTTACTTTCTTAGAGACATCCAGCTTATCAGTGATGTTTCCTCAACTATATCTTTAAACTGTTTCAGGAGAAATTATTTTTAGTTACAAGCAAATCTAGATTAAAGCGCTAATTGCGCTTACTAAAAGCAATCTTTAAGAAGGAAAAATTATCGAACCCATTAGGAATATAAATTTTGAGGAAAACATTACCCTGGATTCCGTCTCCTTTGGTGTGCTCTTCAGAACAAATGCATGCTAAGGCTTTGCTTAAATGGAACTTTATCCGTTAGGCCCTTCCTCCATTCTTCGAGTCAATTAGCAACTGACATAAGACCAACCGAATTGGAAAAAAAATACAATTCCTTCGGGAGACGGAAAGTCGTTCAGTGGAATGTTGGTTGTTGAAAGTTCAATTTCCAGCGTAAGGCTTTGTCTCTCATACGTAAACTTTTAGTTGGTTTTCTAGCACCACAAACGGCTGAGAAGGAAAACACTGATCGCATTCCATTTGCTCTCACATTTCACCCTCACAACCAAGCAGTTAAATCTGTTATTCTTAAAAACTTACTTCAAAACGATTCAGAGATTGGTATTCCCACCAATAGCAGAGCTCGATTTTCTGCGTATAAACTCACACAACCCACAATTCCTCCAATCGCTCTGACTAATTGTCAACTCTGAAACTCTTTACGGTGGCCAATTTACGTTATCAACTCACTTGATAATATTAAATTAACTCACAAAGATACCAAGGATGCTTTTCTAACCACTCCATTAGAAACAAGGGTCGGGTCAAATGAAAGTTGCGCGAAGGTGGCCATGCGCGATTTAGTAACCCGGTTTTTATCATAATTTGACTGTTTGAGCTGTGCCGGGCACATCGTACATGCACGTATAACCATTGTTTTAATTTCGCGTTGTAGTTTGAAGCCATTCCAGAATCTCTAAAGAATATGTTACTGGTGATGTCAACAGCAGGGATATTCGATGAAGAGGAATGTACATTAACAGCTGGTTCCCAAAGTGATAACCGCAAAACACCTGCCAGGCCAGAATCAGACATACATAAGTACTCTGCACTATGGCAGGTCACATGGGAACGGATTGACTGCTTCTTACCCAACCTCCGCCAGGAACTTTTTACACCTCGCAGTCAATTACCCGTTAGCAACATCCCTAAAGTGAAGCCTGAGCAGGAGAAAACAGTTTCGGAGGAAAGCAATCGCGCTATGGAGTTGCCTAGTAACGGTGAGAAATTATGTTGCTATGTAACAAATAGATTCCAAGTTGCCTTGCGTCTGTACAGTAATAGATCACAGATGACGTCAAAATGTTGTAAGAACAAAAAAGTGGCACACGAGGCGCAGCTGAGTGTCACTGATGTTCTTACCATGTTTTGACGTCCTCTGTGATCTATTGCTGAACAGACGCACAGCAACTTGGAATCTATTTGTTTTATATAATTAAGAATTAAAAAAGTTTTAACGATGACGTCATCTATACGTCTGTCCTTCAATATATCATAAGTGGGAACCAATCAGAATGCGTGCATAACTGAGCATATTATATAATGTAATTTGGTTTGATTGGAAACTTTCTTCTCTTAAGTCGAACAGTTCTACAAAAATAATTACAACGGCCAATCAGAAGATGGGAAAGTAAGTTGAAAAGCCAATGAGAACCGAAAGTAAAAACAAGTAACCTGCCTAAACTGCAGGAAAACGCGGGCGATGAAGTCGTGATTGGTGTTAGTTTTGCATTTGATTGGTTGAGAGAGTGGTGCGAGTTTTCCGGACCAATCATAGAGTGGAGTAAACCAAAACCAATGCAGACCTGTTTTACTTTCCACTCTCAATGGAATATTGCTCTAAATACACTTAAATCATGATTACAATTCAATCGGTTGGTCCTCCGCCCAATGGGTTATATACAACTAACGTACTGAACTTTGCTACTTTGTAACTGTGAATTAACCTCCGTTTGCATTCCGTGCTTCTTTATCTTTTCAGTTGATAAAATGGATAACCAAGACAATCCAGACGGTGAGCGAAGCTTGCCTTCCAACCAGAAAAGCAGCAACAGCAGCATCTCTTCTCCTCCCGGTGGTGGACAGCAGCAAGTTTGTGTGGTTTTACAGCCACCTCTACCTTCATTAACAAACCGGAGCACCTCTCCAACACACTTGGGCTCCTTAGCAGACAACGTACGCCCCAGTTCAGTGCCCATTATTCTGGCTCCCAGTCCAGCACTTTCACCAGCAGCCCTTTCCTCGCCTCAAGGGTCTCGATCCCCGACACCTACGGATCCAGGCCCTAAGCAGCTAGAAATGTCAGAGGAAGTTCCAAGGGAAGATTTGAAGGCTGACCAATCAAATGGCGAGTCAGGAAAATCTGATGCACCTTCACCAGAGAGAATGAAAGCTTCGATATATGACATCTAGGTTTACTTAGTACGGTTTTGAGGACTACTGTGTGTTCCAATCGCCTATAATTTTATTGTAAATTATTTACTGTACCGGTTAATTGAAAACGGAGGTTAGAGTTATCTTAAATGTTTAGAATCGGATTCTACCAGTCAGAACATGTAATACGCATCCCTCCACGTTGTAACAGCCACTGATCAGAGAATTTGTGAACTGGTGACAACTTTATTGGCAAAGGATTCAAATCGTTCCATAACGGGTCAAAGGTCCCTTAGTCGTGGAATGACAACGACTTAACCCTTTTTTCTCCCATAAGTGACTCAAGTAGAATTTCTTCTCACAATATCAACACAATATCAATCAGACAAGTGATGAAATGAATGAAAATAAAGAAAAATATCACTTAAGGGATTATTAGTTAATCCAGTACTGAATTCTCTGAACTATCATCATTAGAATTGTATGGCAGACAGAAAGTGAAAGGGCTAAAAGCGTGTAGGGCTAAAAGCGTGTAGGGCTATTGAAGAGACCATCTAGTTAAATCCTTCATGCATAATTTGATCAAAATTTTTCTTTATTTCCCTCACTCGCACTTATACAGTCGGTTACGAATCAGGACGTGTGGAATTGCTGACCAGCTGCGAGTGGTACTAAAAGCCCCCATCATTTCAATTCTAACAACGAAAACAAAATTCACCTATTTTTCGGCAACATCCACCTACCAAGAGCCAACAGTTTTCCCAGCTTGAAAAATAATTGAAAATATGAGATATCTGTTGTGAGGGTGCGATGTTTTACGCTAGTTTTAGGGACGATTGTTTGCCAATAGGTTTTGTAATAACTTTGGAAAGGTGACCTTCAGCATGAGTAATGAGGCGAAAAGTTTGCCTCGATTCCTCGGTTGACATATCTGTTAGATCTTATTTTAGGTTACATCTCAGCCAAACTCCTTGAGATCAAGCAAGACTCCCAAAATTGATTCTGTTCTTAATCAATTATAGAAGTTATGATGTACAAAAGTCAAGAATAAAATAAGAGAGATGATTTGTTTTGCATGTCACTAAATTGCATGATTAAGGGTTATGTATAGTATTTTAAGAGGGTTTTTTTTTCATCGCTGATGAATGCTGTAGCTTGTGTATGGAGCTGGTGTTTTTATGTGCACATTTGCGCGTTAAGTGGTAGAGCCGAGAAAACGAGAGGCGAGACTTGGGCCTAGAATACTTTTAGGCAAGGCCAGTTTCCTGCGTAGCCGGTGTACTGAGAAGACGGAGTCTGATTGCAGTATAACGAATTATTTAAGCCCATTTATTTCCAGTCAATCACACGTGTATTCCTCTCGCGCGCATTGTTCTTGTCCTCCATAAGGGCTTATCTCCTGTACGCAAACCGCAAGTTAAAAATTTTTCGTAACAAAATAAATTTCCACTAAACCAATGTTAAGATTACATTTCGCTTCAACCGATGAAAGATAATGGTTATATTTCAAATAGTATGCAAAACTGAATAAGGTAAAGGCGAGCGAAATGTAAGGTACTGCTGATCTGCGTGGAAGTGAAAATACTAAAACGAAAAATTTTTCTAGCGATTGGAAGTGAAAACACCAGTTTTCACTGGTAATGGTCAACAAAAGTACCAACATACAGGTGTACAATGAAAGCAAGCAACAAAGCAAAAACCTTCATTGTGACTACACTAAGACGAGTTATTCAATGTAAAAAGTTTATTTAGGACGAGTCAGCCGTCTTGAAGTACAAGCATCGTAATATGATCTTAACATGTGTACACTGAAAACTAAGGGTTCTACAAAAAGAACCTGTGCTACGCCAGCTAGGAAAAACCACTAAAAAACCACACTTTAGAAGTGGCCAAAAAAATGTGTGGAAACGTATTCCTCATCTAATGCAGCAGCACAATACCACGAGGAAAGGGTAAAATAATCTGGTTACATATACTTATCACAAAGAAAAATCAATGAATGTCGTGATATTTTACAGGGATTTGGAAAAAGAAAAGTACATCAATACGAAAAAAAAAGAAAAGACTGACCGAATTATTTAGAATGTCTTAATTTTCTAGCGAAACCCTTAAATAATCCAAAACTTCCATGATGCCATACAAACCTCTCCAGCGTGCCAGCAGTGTCACTCAAACGCCAGAAATAACAGTTTACTAGTCTAAAACTACTGTGGCTTTTTATATATATTTTTTGACATATTAGAATGAAAGAACTTGAATGAACTCGATTAAATTGGAAATGGTTCAATATGAAAAGTTTTATGAGTAAATATGTTCCAAACAAACACACGGAAAAATCAGTAAATTTTCCCGTAACACCATGCTCTGTTCCAGCTAAAATCTTGAAAATGGCCCGGTGCAATTAAAATGACGCATTCTAGCGGCAGACTCATGTTTGTCTTTTACAACTGCGAACAAATGACTTGTAAAGTAACAGAGTGTCACGGAGGTCAAAATCAGACCCACAAGCATATGTTTTCGCCATTTCTTCTTCCACACTTTCACTACAGCAACATTAAGATATGACATTTGTAGCCAGAATGAGAACGAATTGAAAACGAAATCGATGGTGAGTGCAATGGACACGCGGATGAAGAAATCCCCAACCAAACCCAGGTCAGAGAAGGCCAGACTATTATTGTTGTACATGAAGCTATACAGCTGGATGAAGCCAACCGCTGCTATCAACGCAGTCGATTCTCCGAGAATCGTCTGAATGCTCATGTCTGCAATAAGACGCATGCTTCTGGGCGTTCGAAATCTGTTCGCCCTTAACGCTTCTTCAGCATTCGCGTCACCTTTACACTTTTTGTAGATAAAATACCAAAGATAATCCCGCACAACAATGGTCAATCTTTCCAGTAAGTCCACTGCACTGTGAACAAAGCTCAGAGCAATGAACAGTTGAAGACTCGTCAGTTCTGCTTGCATGACGCGAAAAACGATAGCAGATGCGCTGTATAGAACACTCAGTAGGACATGGGAGTCGCCGGGATGGAGAAAATCGATCCTTTGGGCCGCCAATCGGACGATGACCTTCGGTACAGCGGTCACCAAAGGAAGTGCGCCAGCTATAACCGCCCTGTTCGTCTCATTCTGCTGATCGTATAATGGAATCACTACGTAAACAAGAACTAAAACGATAGGAATCACAAATACCAATTGCGCTGCGAGTATAGAAGAAACCTTGAGGATTCTTCTAAGTTCTATTCTTCGATCCCTGGCCGTTCTCTTAGCAATTTCTCTTCCCACTAGAACAGAGTTCATCAGAACCATAGCTAGAAATAAAGCGTTTAAAGGAAAAGACATCCATGACTTCTTGTATATTCCAAAGACTTGGAGGTACAGCCTGTAACAGGTATCGAAGAATGCTCCCAGTAGATTTAGAACTAATAGATTAAGTCTTTTCACTAATGGCCAGCCAAACATTGTGATTATCAGAAGAAATGACCACATCTGGATTATATATGCTTCCACTGTCTCGGCTGTCACAATAATAGCTTGAATCTTATGAGGTAACGAGTTCCAGTGACCATGTAACTGCCTATCGTAGCAAAGATCAACAGAATTAAAATCCAAAACTAAAATCAATAGAGCCAGCGAGCCGAGAGCTAAACCTCCTACAATTTGAATAAAGAAAACACATTTCACGGCCTTCCAAAGCGACATCCACCATCTTGGCGGCCGAGATCTCCTCCAGCCCATGTTACTAACGTCTCCTAGCGGTGGATCGTACTCCTGAAAAATTGTATCATTATCGACATTATCAAAGTTTTTGAAATCCTCCAAAGGGTCCCTTCCTTGTATCAGCGGAGCATCTTCAAGAAGTCCTTGTCCCTGATAAGACTGAATCACATCGGCAGTAAAGGTTTCCGCCACGTAAGCAAAATAGCTCTCAATTGAAAAGGACGCCATGCATTCGACTGAATTCTGTTTGTGCCAGAAGACTGTGTTATGTAATAAAGATTTTAAGGACCCACAGCGGCACCTATCACAGATACAAATTGAAACATCGAAGTTGGGAAACTAAGAGACTTTGTTAACCCGCAACATGCCAACTAAGCATATATGCATAAAAATGAACGAAGTCATTTTAGCGAGCAATTGTGGTGAATTATTGGGGCTTATGACCTGTGTTTCATTTCAGATAACTTTGTTAACGTATAGTTTGAGTCAGTGAAAAAATTTGGTGAGTTGTATTAAAGGATATGAAAACTTAAATTTCGAGTTTGTATTGTGTGTGGTTTTTTAAAAATGGCGGCGTGCGAAATATCTCCTAAAGCATTCTGTGCGACTGGAAGCTATGAAAACGATGTGGAAATCGAATTTATCGACGACGACAAACACAGAAGACGAAAATAAAACGAAAAACTCACAAGAACACCAGGAAGCGACGAAAATAGAAAATGCTAACAAAGTAAACTTACAAACACGTAGGGACTTCAGGCTGGCTCGATGAAACCCAATAACAGGAGAATTGCAACGTAAATTCAAGGAAATATGGCAAACACACCCTTCACATTCCACGACCGCGCGGTCCTAAGTCTAACCAACACACCGCTGATTACGTAAACCCGAAGAACCGAACTTTAACAAATAAAAGTAATAATAAAAAATTGAGGAAAACCGGGAAAACAGAAACTATACTGGTGGAAATGAGTCAGAAAAACTGGAAAGAGAGGAAGAAGAAGTATTGGCATGGAGCGAAGAAATAACAAGAAGGGATGATATTGATTTCCGTGAACACGTGAGATTGGCAGCAAATGTGCACCACGTGCAAAGCTGTCAATTGTTTCTCGAATGCTGCGCGTGTTTTATAGAGAATAATACATGGGCGCGTGTAGATATGGAATTTCTCTTCTAGCGTTAACCTCGATAGCTCACGATTGAGCGCAGCGAACGAAAGAGATGATGAGTTGAACACGAGAAGAGAAATTCCATATCTACAAGCAACCATGTATTATTTTGTTTATCATATAAACAAAATAATCCTTTACTGGGAAGAAAAGCCGACTTCATTAATGAATGAAAATAAATGAATCGACAATCCTCGAATAACAATCGTAAAGTGCGTTGGCGCTGACTCTTAAGATGGATAAATGCGTTGAATCATGATTGCAAAAGCAAAAATGGTCGTAATTTTCAATTTACAAAATTCTCATTATTGACTTTGCACTTACCGACAGAAGAAGTCTTTCAGGTAAACGGCTGAAATCGGCTAGTGGCAAATTTTCCTGTTGTCGATTTTCATTCTCAGCCGAGAGAAATGCTAACACCAAAGCCACCGAATACGTAACTTTCGGTTTTTCTTTTAGTATATTGGTTTTATCCCCTTCTAGGAAAGTTTGAACCTCACCGTCTGTCAGCGATACGGATTTTTTAGTGTTTTAGCTACCATAATTCGAGAAAGCTCAGATAAACAACTTGTATTGGGAATCGTGAAGGCTTTGCCATTCATTAATCAACCTGACCGAGTGGCGCCAAAGGCGAGTGACGTGTCAGCTGATTGGCTATATCAACACACGTGGGAAAATACAATGTTTTTTCACGTGTCTTGTTATGGCTTTTCTCACTGCCAGAAATCCCTGTAGAACATCGCAGTTTATGTGATAAAATTAAATATTCAACAGTGACACCTCGTTTACATCAGCAGAGGGGCATTTCGTCTGCGCATGCGCCTATAAAATTTGTTCGGCGTGTTCGGCATCGTTTTGATATTTTGAGCGCCCTTCCCCGGGTTTTCAACTGGGCGATCGACTCCTTTTTGCAATATTTTTTGGAGAGGGATGGAAGAGTATGACAATATTACCACCATTTCTACCTCTGTGGATACTCGTGGAGTTTGCTGGCTCTTCGGATGAGGATTTTTTAATGATCAAAGTGCGAACTAAACGCGAAAAAAGGCCGAAAACTTGAAGTTTGAGATTAGATTTACTGACGATCAAGATGTGCACATGGGACAACAAACCTTGAAGGGTAGTCTTAAGATGTTGATGTCTTACTTCTGTGAATCACGAAGTTGTATGTGGAGACGATCGTGAGATATTCTTTGCGATAATAGAAGGTAATTTAGGATTTGATCTTCTTTTACTTCAACTTTGAAATAGAATTGCGTTAAGTTCGAGGTGGCCCCCAAGCTTCCAATCACATCAAATAACATCGTCATTTCTTTCTCTTTGTAGTCACATAGAACATAAGTCTTTAAAAAATGTTCCAGCTTCAGGATTGAGTCTCTCTTACTACGATCTTTGGCAAATTCCCTTAGTTGAGACTGATGATAGGATTTTGGAGGTTGAGATGGATTTTCCAAGTCATGGCTCACAACTGTCTTTGGCCTTTTTGCTCTCCAAGTCTGTTGTACATGGTATGTAGGCATGTGTCTTAACAACGGTTGTAGTCGTGCCTCAATCATCTCTGGTTTTATCTTACTTTGTTGCTGTGTTTTGGTGAGAATTTTTTTAATTGCCTTTCTGAGCTTGAAGTGCTGACTAGAGGATAAACTTCGGTAGAACCTATTTATCACATGGCCCCCAAATCCCTCACCGCTGTTAGTTCGTTGTTTATTTGTTTAGCTTTCGGTCTAACCAGTTCATTTACCTAAAAAAAAAAGCGTGGGCTTTGCCTCATGAGTTTAAACTGGTGCCGTCTTAATCATGTTCATGTGTTATTCGAAACGAATGGCGTCAGCTTCATTCTGTCTTGTTTATTTCAGTAGAATACTTCTGCCACAAGAAATGAATTTTGAGTCGAAGTGTACAATGAAACTCGCATATTAAAATTATCATACTTTCTGTGGTTCTTAAAATATGAGACGAGTGATACAACAAATGGATAATTACTCAAGGGGCTGGAACTCCTTGTTTCTTTAGAATGTTAATTACAGTATTTCTGTCATATTTGTAAATGATTCCTTTCAAGCTAGAGTTGTAAATTCGATTCCCGGGTTGATACACGCGCATGCGATAAACACCAAACCAAATAGGATCTTTTCTTTCTTTATGCCCTTTCCTATTCCTTGGGGCGTTATTATATCGAAGCGGTCAACTGAAATTGTTACGTAAAGAAATCACCTAAGTATTATGATCATAGCTTAAGAATAATCTCGATTTTGGAAACGAGCACGTGGCAATTAAAGGAATCAAAGGAAAGGTAAAAAACGAGCGATAAATGTTACTTTGAGTAACGACTACGAGCTAGATAACATAATCATAAAACAAGTTATTGCTTACCAACGTTCGCGGGTCTTGATTACTTTATCAAGGATTACAGTCTAACTTGTCTTCTATTCAAAACGATCTTGATCACACGGGGTCTTATCTTGAACTGAAACGCTTTCTATTATTTTCTGCCAAAAGAGAACTAACCACGGGGGCGTCAACCTAACCAAAGAATATTTCGCAGCTTTTCTCGGAAGTGGTAGCACTTAGCTTCAACGGAAGCAGTTACAATATTTAAAAACGGATTTCACGTCAAAATGTCTTCAAACCAGTTTGACTTGCATTTCACTTTGCCAGATGGTGGTCCTTCAATTTGTTTTTCTTAATTGAGACTGATGATAGGAATTGACTTTTATGTTCTCTGCTGTTTAGGGAGATGTGATGTGACCCCACTACATATAGTTGGTACTATTGACCGAATGGATAGGTGTGTCATGCATTGCGCCTAGCTGGTATTCAAGAGAATGTAATTAGTACCAGATGCTTACTACTGGTATAAATGATCGATCTTTTGTTCTCTCCTTGCAACTTGCCTCGACTAGCCTATGATATATGCAACTTATGTCTATACCTTATTTGCAACTGTAAAATTACCAATAAAGTTTTTGAAAGTTTTGTCCAAATTTAATTGGAAAAGAATAAAAGGAGTGATCAGTTGAAATATTGTTATGTCCCTTGAGAGTGCTGAGCTTCCAGTGAGAGCTATAAAATTTCTTAAGTGACTGATATATGATGTGTCTGCCTTAAAATTGGCACAGCCAAACCCCTGGCTAGAAAACTATAAATTTCCCTCAAATAGGCATCGACGCCAATGCCCATAACTGCAGAATATGCAATGTAAAAGTCCCCTTTTGACTTAATTCTCATTTCTCTAAAATCTGATAGATGTAAATCATTCATTTTCATAAAGAGATCAACAAACCTCTCCACATTAGTTCAATCTGACCTCATTTAGTCCTGTTCCCAGGAAAAGAAGGCTTTTGGAAATATATTTTTTTTATCCTTACTGTTAAATATGAGCCTTCTGTTTGTTTGTTGTTTGGCATGTAAGAAGAGTCTTTTCACACCACTGAATTGTCACATAACTCTTGGAATTTAATAGGTAGGAGAATAAGGTTGGAAATAGTGTATATGATATTGTTGTGCAGATGAAATGATAAATGAATATGATTTTATTGGGAAATAACTGTTTTATTTAACTATTCATATTACAACTGGAGGCCCAAACAAGAAATTTTTTTAATTCACAATTTCTGCACATCATTGATCATATCTGATGATATTTCTGAGACTAATGATTGAAAAGAGTTTTCCTTACTCTGTTATAGTCCACAATTATTGCTACAGTTCTAACAAGCTCTTTGATCTAAAGTGACCGTATCGCTAGTGCTAACATGGTCTTACTTTTCTTTACTCGACACTAACCTCTTTTAGTTTTGATAACCGGACCCGCCGGTTGTGATTCATGTTTTAAAAAAAAAACTTGTGAAACAAAACATAAACTTTAAAATTGAAGTACATTGCGAGAGCAGTACAGTTGGAGCTCTAGAAAACGTTCACAGGAAATTGAGTACTTCAAATGATTAACGACAACTTGAGATAGCAATGACACGTTAAAAGTATAACATCCAATTTATTAGTGTTCTTCGACAGGCCTCTTGCATTCTTCACAAATAACATCATCTACATTAATCGCCCAAACAATTACAAGACAAGACTCGAAGTCGTCTGTACAATCTTTTGCTTTTTGAAAATAACTTCCTTCTACACACCACACAACAATTTTAAGACTTTGCCGCTTCCATCTAAGTTCAGAGGGAAAAATGACGAGAAAAGTCGTCTCAAATACTCGATCCATTGTTGTTTTCCGGCGTATTTTCCTGCTTCTTTCCTTTCGCGATTCTTGAGCGGAAAACTGACGCAGGCGCATACCAGCGGTTTCTAGCATCAAACTAAAATTTACAGAACATATTTACATCTACATCTACTTTTATTATTAGATCTACATCTACTTTTATTACGTTGGTAAAATCTGTACAGACATCACACCAACCAACTCGCGCGCAAAGTGAGAAGACAAAATGAAGGCTTGAAATTATATTACGATCGATTTTCATCGGCTAAACTTCAGAATACCCCGCAACTTTGGTCCGCCTCACTTACATGTGTCGGGAGGCTTTGAAGATCGAGGCATAACAAAATAGACGCTAATCTTATTCAATGACATGTAAATGAGTTGTGGGGTGTTCTGAAGTTGCTCCTTTTCATCGAGAAATGGGCCAGGAATATTCCACAATAGTGTAAATAATCGTGAAAGCTGATCGCGGAAAAGCGATTGCGTGACGCTCGGTAAGTTGTAAGATGACATGTTATCACATACCAGGCGAAAAAACTCTTTAGATTCTCAGTCTGCATTTTGTACCCACTCTGTAGCCTACATTTTGTACCAAGTCCACATTTTGTATCCGGTCTGCAGTCTGCATTTTGTACTAACAGGTATCCGTGGCACCAATACAGTTTACTTTTGGTTACAGTTATTCGCACAACACACGCAATCTACCTGTGTGTGAGAGTTAATTCGACATTTTCGTTCTTTGCCGCGTTAATACTCTTCTTTCCTTTTGTAAGAATGTAGACATCACTTACAATGTTTCAAGTAATCCACCCACCCCCAAAAAATAACTCTTACATGCACAGCATACCTTTGTTTTGATCTGTTCTTCATTGCTCAGTTATGGGAGTTTTTCGTCGCTCAGACTAATCTGCATGCAAATCAGAAATGAGGAGCTGCAGAAAAGTCTGTGTGGTATCCAGTGTCTGTGGAAGAAACAAAAGGTTGGGTTGCCATTTATTTGTGTATGGGAATTATTAATAAGCCAAATATCCCTTCCAACTGGAATACTGCCCCCATTCTTTGGTGCCATAATGTCAAGAACAAGATAACTTCAGAAAGTTACTTTTGACTTGCATGCATGACAAGTGAAGATGATTCTGGTGTTGTGGAAAGATCAGTGAAGGTAAATGGCCACTGGGTGAAGCAAAACTTTGCCTGCCCTTGTATGGTTAGCCTGTACAATGCTTACATGGGTGGTGTGGATGTCTCAGATCAGAGAGTCAGCTTGAATGTAAGGCTAATGAGAGGTGCTGTGTGGTATTTTTTTCTATCTCATAGAAGTATGTGTTTCAAATGCACACATTTTGGAAAGAAAATCTCCAAATCATACCACCAGAACTGCTTTAGACTTCAGAAAGTCATTGATAAGTGACTTGATTGAAGGAAAGTCCTTCAGGAGAGACACTCAAATGTGGCTGCCACCCACTCCTAAAATTAGATTTAATCAAGAACACTTTCACCACCTGGTGAGCAATGACAAAAGATCTACTTGCAAGGTTCACCTACAGCATATAGATACTTTTTATAGCTGGGCAGTGTGTGGAGTACACATTTGCCTGGAGTCCTGTTTTCTCAAATATCTCACACTGAAAGACTACTATTTTAATGATGAAGATCATGAAGGCCCCTGACGTCTGAAAGCAGGAAGTGGGAGGCCTTGCACCAAAGGAAGAGGAAGAGTTCTTCAAAATTGAACATGTAAAGAGAAATGTGATGGTGGAAGTAATATAGCTGTGAGACAATGAACCTGACTTACTCAAAGACTTTCTCAAAGACAGTACTGAAGGTTGGTATGTTCTTGTAAATTTAAAATCCTTTTTCTTTACTTGGAAATATGTTATTTGAAAGGACATGATCAATTAATTTTTTTCAAAACTTTCATCGTAAAGATTAATGACTCTGAAATAATTCCAAGAGTACCTCAAGTTTTTAAATTTGAATTTCTTGCACAAGTTATATGACAGGAGTATCTAACACAGGTGATATAATGTGAGCTACATGACATGAGTTATATGAAGTAAGATCAAGAGATTTTAAATCTTTTGGTATGTTCTGTGACCTACTGAATGCCATTACTCCTTCGTGTTGGTTGCAAACCTATGCAATGATGGTAACAATGGCATTAATTCCAAAGAAGAGGGCAAAACTGTGTTCAAAGGGAACACTTCACCATCATGAACAAGGTAGATAACCCACCACTGCATATTTTGAAAAAACAGACATTTGAAAGGAAGACAGTTTGCAAAAATGCACTATTTTGATAGAATGATCAAGGCTGAGCAACACTTGATCATGAAATAATCAGTTTTATTTTTACTATGTTTAAAGAATTTTGCTGTATTTGGTTGAATAAAAACCAAAGTTGCGAAAGTTATGGCTGGTTTCCAGTTATGTCTTCTACCAGGCGTGAATTAAAATTTCTGGTAATTTAGACAATTACTCTCCTTATAATGCATATAATCATTTCTTCAATGATGCAGTTATGCCATCTTTATGTTTTTTTTTATGAAAAAAATCGGGCAACATGACTCCGGATTTTGGGCGTTATGACTAACAATTTCGGGTGACCTGACTCTAGTTTCGGGCGACATGACTTTCGTGACTGGAAGGTAATAAAGGGGTAATTTTCTAAAGAAACTGTGGTTATGTGTCGGTGGGATTTTATAACAGGTTGATTTGGTGTTATCAACTGAGTTGACCTAAAGACTTTAAAGGCGACCATTTCGAGCGTTAGCCCTTCGTCTTACTGGACAGAAAGAAAACCTACCAAAATTTCCTAAGACCACCCGAAAAGCTGTTCTGATGTTGCCCAGGTTTTTCATAACATTCCGTCTTAACCTGCTTGCTTCAAGAGAAAATCTCCCTCCAACCTGTCATATCATGAAACGGCGAAGGCAGATAAAGAGAGAACGATTGTGTTGTGGGACATTGTGTGTGTGCTTACATGTATCGATAATTTTGAAGCCCTAGTCTCCTTTACAGCCGTTTATGGGAATGTCACGCAACGGGGAGGAGTGTTGCGTGACATCACATCATACTATCCTACAGGAGGTATCCAGTCGTTTCGTACCCATGGATATTTCCCAGACGATTCGTGCCCAGGCTCAGACGTTTCGTACCCACTTTTGATCAGTTCGTACCCAACCCTCTGGTCGATTCGTACCCAGCAAATTATGACACAAAAACGATTAAGATGCAAACAAAGATAATTTTAATATACCTGTATGAAAATCGCAATTCACAGTCGAAATATTGAGATTCTAAGTAAAGTTGTTTGGTTTATACTTGTGTGAGTGGCCCGCAAAAGATAACTGTTATTTACTTTTCTATTGTTTATACTTGTGAGTTTGACAATAACAGTAAATTATTGTCGCGCGCAAGGTAGGTGTGATTTTGTCCTTTTTGTTTTCTACTGTATTAAATAAGAATGTCGTAACAAAGGGATTAAACACTTCGATCTTTTTGGTGTAAGGGTCCAGCTTTAAAAGGCCCCTCGAAAACTTTCTCAACATTCGTTCATTTGAACTGCTCAGAAAAACTTTCAAGGAAAATGGCATATCGATGTATCACGTGTTAAAAATTCCTCAACAAGCGTCAAGAAGCTCTTTTGCGCGGTGGCTGCAATAAATGGCAGCACAGGACCTGCAACAGTGGAGTATAACGAGAAACCTACAGGGACGCAGTCAGATTTGGTGGGAAATTTTCCCTTGGAAATGCGAATCCTGTTCCGCTTCGCGTGCTATTTTACCT